GGGTTGGGATCAGGAACTGGGCAGCTCTGCACCCAGAGAGCCTGGAGGGTTGGGCAGCTCAAGTGCTAGCTCGAGCTCTGGGCTGTGATGAGAACTTGCTCTTGGCTGGAGCTGGGACGTGGTTTCCAGGCTCCTGGGCATGAAGATCAAATGCAGAGAATGATCCCATCAGCAACATGGAGTAAAGGAAACCCCACACACTCACTGTTCCCTTCCTGGTGCACCTGGCTGCAGCATGTCCTGGCTCTCCACACAGGCAGCCCCTTCAAAGGGACATGAGCTGAAAACCACCTTGCCACAGGGGCCACCCAAGCCAAACGAGCACTGTCCCACCCCCTTCCCCTGCCAGAGCTCAGCCTGGCTGTGCCCCTTGCTCCTGCTGCCTCAGTTCACTCCCAGTTCACTGAAGCAATGGTCTCCACTTCCAAAGATGCTTGGAGGGACCAACACAAACCCAATGCTCCTCATGTTCCCACCAACTCACAAAACCAGGTGATGGACAGGGCTCCACCAGGGACTGAGCAGCTTCTTATTAACGGGAATAAAATCCTTCAGGGAATTCCTGCTGGGGTTGGGAACAGGAACCAGGCAGCTCTGCACCCAGAGAGCCTGGAGGGTTGGGCTGCTCATATTTAAGCACATTATTCAAGGGAGTTTCCCCTGGGGGTGCACAAACCAACCTGGACAACCAAAGTGCCATGTAGGGAGCACAGATGGGGGATCTGGGAACCAGGCGAGCTGATGGACCACCTCAGCATTCATGTGAGCCCACGAGCAAGCTGCAGGATCACAGGCTGGCGGGACGGCCTGGCCAGCTCTCTGTGCCTCTAACCAGGGCTCCAAAACACCCCACGCTGTGATGCTGTAGGACCAACTCCTCCACTCACAGAGAGTCCACACAGACCCATCACACACCACAGAGTCACCACAACTCAACACAAGCAAGCAGCTGTGACACTTACTCAAAACATTAGGGTGACATGAGCATCCATGGAAAGTGTTATCCCTTCCCAAAGCCAGCCATGGCCAGGTGGCTTCATTTCAGATCCCTGGCATCATTATGAACCCATAGGCTCTCAACTGACCTCTGATGAAAACACAACTGCTGGGTCAATCCCACCCCACCCCTGCCATGGCCTCCACATCCTCTGTGCAGCCCTGTTCAAACATCTCACCAGGGAGGCAGTGCCAGGCCCACCATCTTCCCCCCAACCTAGGGGACCTCGTGGCCCAGGGCCTGAGGTGAAAGAACACACAGACGCCAACACTCAGTTAAGTTGTAGGAATTTATTTTAAATAACCTACAGTTGATTAAAAGGGAATTCATGATAAAAATAGAAGATACTTGTTGAGGAAAGGCTGCAGGAAATGGTCTTCGCACACACACTACGCTAACAATGCCTCTAAAACTAATGATTATAGCAAAAAAAGGTTTCACATTAAAATTCTGCTTTTTAATTTTTTTAAAATTTTTTTACACAATTACAAAAGAAAAAAATAAAACCCCTAAAATCTTGAATTATTTTCCTTTTTTTTGGACCAATGCTTATTTCCCTCGAAATTTATTGACCTGTGAAACTTCTTTTTACACAATAAAATCTTTCAAGTAAAAGAGGGGAGTGGGGCTTAGAAAAAAAGGGGGGAAAAGGTAAAACAGTCTGACAAACCTAAAAAGTAGATATTCTTGGAAGTGTACAGTGTGTTCAGAACAAAGGGCAATGGGAATGTCATTTGTTGCCAATTTCACTTGTCCTCAAATTCCGCACTCATGTCCCCATCACACAGCCCCCTCCCCCCACCCGCTCCCCAAATCTACACGATCTTTAAGATCAAGAAGAAAAGAAACTGTTTAAATATTTTAAAATAATTAAAAGAAATAATTCACATTTAAAAAAAAAAAAAAAAAAGGAACACTCAAGTCAGGAGGCCGATTTCCCATCACGCTCTGCTCTGAACAAATGTGGTGGATATTTGTAATTCATGTTCCGATGCCACAACTGTTTCAAGTGACAAATTAAAAAAGATTTGGGTATTTCCGTGACTATAGTGACAGCTGTAACAGGTGCGTTGGGTTTCTTAAATTTTGTTTCTTTGTTAAATTCTGAAATGGGGTGGGAGAGGGAAGGGAAGGGCAGGGGTTAAGGAGTCCATTTTCTATTAAAATATAGAAGTTATTGCAAAACCCTAACTGTAAAAACGCACCAATATAATTGGATTTTGTATACAGTAGCTAAAGATTCCCACGCTCTCAGTGTGATGGTGAATTTGCCTGGCGGAAGGTTGACAAATCCCCCATCCACTTGCCCTGCCTCAAGAGAAAAACCACACAAACCAGACAGCTAGAATTTGGATCTCTGAAACATTTTTAAATAAGTTGTCCATAGGACAACTGGCTCAGCTCCTTTAGGATATTTCCAGGTTATGCTTTCTGCAAGATGTTGGCTGTTTTATCTTGATGCTCACTTGCCCCTTTCCTCCCCCTTCCCCAGCATCCAAGGACAAGTAAGGCTCACAGTTTATCAATCTCCCTAAAAACCAGGCTACTCCCCCTTTTATTTCCCATAAAATTCAGCTCATTAAAAACAAGTTAAAACTCATAGTCTTCCTCTGCCATGTCGATAGCCCAGGCAAATTTCTCTCGTTGGGTTTTGTTATAAATCTTCTCTATAGGAATTCCCCACTTCTTACACCTGCAGAAGAGGAGATGCTGTTAGAATCAACACAGCACAGGCATTCAACCCCTCGCTCTGCCCCAGCACCTTCCTTCACAAGACACACCACCCAGCTGAGCACAAACAGCCTCCCTGTGTCCAACCCTGCAGGTTTTCTGACCCACAGCCTCCCAGCGCAGTGCTGGCTTTGGCTGGCATGTTACACTTGCCTCAAGAGACTCTCTTATGAGTTTCTTGAAACCATTTGAAGATATAAGGGAAGGCCACAGAGACAGACATCTCTGGCAGCACAGGGGCACTGCTCTTATGGCCACACAGCCCTTGTCTGCTAACTGGGGGGACACAACAGAAGTGAAGAGGTGGTTCCTTCCCACACACCCCAGGTAGATGCTTACCAAGCAACAGAGATCCTGGGATCCAGATAGTTGAGTTTGGAGGTGCCCAAAGCAATCTGCTTGTTCTCCTCCCTATCTGTAGCCTGAACCTCCAGCTTCATCAGTTGCTCCTCAATCCTCTGCACTGCCTTCTTCTTGCTCTCCACTGTCCTGGGGTGGGAAAGAATCAAAGTATTTAATTCCGAATGCCCTGCTAGACTTGAGATGGCATCACTGCAGGAACCTAAAGGGACTCTGCTCAAGGTAAGCAATGCCACCAGTCACAAAAGGCAGCTGTGTCAGCACAGATGGTGACACAAAACACTCAGCACATGCAATTAACAACTGACATTTTCAAAGAGGCAGAGCAGAAATCTTAAGCAGCAGTTTTGTTTTAAAGGGTTTGAAGCAACAGCCTGAACTGTAGCGATGCTACACCCACTTTAAAACCAGTCCATCTATCCCTCTGCAACAGTCACGCTGTGATTCTGCTTTCAGAGTTCCCTTAACTCAGCACCCCTGTGGCGATTCTGCAGAGCCCACACAGAGTCCATCGTCTGCATCATGGGCTTCTAACAGAGCAGAGCAGAACCCAGAAAAGGGCACGTGCAATTGTGTAGCTCCTGGTGTCCTGGCTCCCCATAAAGCTGGCAATGCTGCATGCTTGATCCACTGCTCTGCTTGGTCCTGGGCAGCAGGGTGGTTGAGCACTGGCTTGTGCTCAGCTCGCAGGGCTAAGAAACAGTGGAGACTAATGCCAGTGACCACATCAGGAACTGCAGTGTCAAGGCCACCCTATGGTCCTCAACTTGAAAGGCCATTTCTTCATGCACAGAATAAAGAGGGGACAAGAAAGTCTGAGAAAATATTCCCAGATCACAGGCTGGGGAAACAGAATACAGGGTGAAGGACCCATGTGGAGCAGAGAGTACTGGGAGCATTGCACAGCCTAGTAACACCAGCCTTACTTTTTAGACTTCTCATCCCTCCGGACCTTGGCATCAGCTTTGGCGCTTTTCAGTTCTCTCCTGGCATCAGCTAACTGCTCCTTCTTGGCATCGATCTAGGAGAGGCAAAACCAGACGGCAGCACTGTGAACAAGCTGCTGACAACTGTGGCAGTCACCCCTGGGCAGCATAACCCAGGGAGTGAGTTTGTGACCACGTTCAGAATCCACCAGCACTCAGACCCACTTCTGCAGAACAATTAGGCCATCGGCCTTTCATTTTCCTGCAAAGCCTAGTGTGGTGAAATATTCCCCTCAGAAAATTGGGCCCCACTCATTTCTAAAGACAAGGTGGTGCTGGGAGCTTTCTCACACAGCTAGAGCCAAGCAGGTAAAGGAGCTGGCTTGGCCTGGGACGGGCCAACAGCCTCTCCAGGCAGCTTGCCTGCCTCCATGGTATCCAGCCATTACCAACTCTCTGATGTTAACACAGAAGGATGATCCCTATTCCCTCAACAGGAATCAGTTCTTGCCTCAAATCCTACAGGCTGAAAGCTGTTAAGGCTTCAGGCAGTTCTTCTCCAGTAAGTTTAGGATTCAGGGATATTTAGCATTTTGCAGCCCCTGTTCAACCATTCCCTTTAAACACCCCCCCCAAGCTCTAAGGTCTAGGGTGAAGGCAGCCATGTTAGGTGTTACAGAAGCAGGGGACACTGCAGTGCCAAACCAGAAGTTCTTATTGTGAAGGTTATTCTAAAGCCAGACCAGGAACAGACCTAACCCCTTTGGATCTCATGGCCTTCACCAGAAACAATCTGCAAAGGAAGAGGTCAAGTCAGAGGGGCATAATGTACCACGTGCACAGCCTGCACTGACAGTGGCCTGGGATTCATGCAACAGGAGTGGATGCCCACACTGGGTTCTTCAGGGGACACAAATCAGAGCTAGAGACTGCTGCTCTGAAGTTTCAATGGCAGCATAACACATAGTTATGGGTTGGAGGGCAGATAAAAAGGGTCTGGTCTTGGTCTTTACAAATAAGAGATGACTTAGACTGAAAGACAGCTCTTTCAGCTCATTGCTCTGCTTCTCAAGTCCTCCTCTCCAAGCAAGCCCATCTCTGATGCAGCACTAACCAACTCCTAACAGGAAAAAAGGAGGCTCTGCTTCCGTTTCATCCCAAGTGAAAGGAAACATGACTCCTAAGATGCAGCATGTGGAGCCCTGCTCCAGCACAAGAGCTGGGCAAGGGTGGGGGTACCTTGGTCTGCAGGTTCATCATGGACTTCTCGAAGGTCTTTGGAGGAGCCCTCTGGTGGTTACACAAAATGGCAACCGCTCTGTTGGCACGGTTATAGGAAAGGATCTTTGCTGGGATGTTGTCGTCCGCTGCAAAGTACAAGAAAGTGATGAACAAGTGGGTTCTCCAGGGATATGCAGCCCCAGCCAGTGTCCCACCAACTCCATGAACTCACAGAACTGACCTTCCCCTCTGATGGGCCAGTCTCAACACTGCACATCTCATCACAGTTGTCAGAGCCTGACCAGTTCCACCCTGGGCCCTAGCTCTTTCTGGAAGGGTTTCTTCAATAGCAACAAAGAGACCATTTGCCACTCAAGAGAGGGGAAGCCATCCACGCTCAGAATAGAGGACAGCAGGACCATACTGCTCAAGACACTGTTGGGCTTCACAGATCCAACATGTCTACTTCATAAAGCTGTTAAAGTCCAAGCCACCAGTGCTTGACAGAGGTTGTGAACGAGCAGCCAAGAAACGTGGGTCTGTTACAGACACATCTGTCTTGCCTGTGACTTTACAATTAACAGAAAGCAAGTAAGAGATTGGGTAAAGGACAGGCACAAACCAGCAGGCACACCCTGGTGTGCTCATAAAGTCAGCTCTGCCATGCTGGGCTGCTCAACCACCCCAAAAGAGACCTCAGCTGTCTGACATTTGCACTGGGAGAACTGCAACGAGGAACTGGTGTACAGATACAAGACTCGTGGCTAAACCAAGAAGCCAGGCCTATATTGCAGGATAAGATCAGAACTTCAAGAACAAGACTTACGATTAGTGAGCTCCTTGAGCTGCTGCTGTAGCGTGATGGAGGCATTGTAAGTACGGAATACCTTGGCTGTCAGTCCCTCCATAAGGTCTTGAAGATGTTTATTTAAGATACTGGTCTAAGGAGGCAGAAAGGAGATGACAGTTAGCACTAGAACTGACCACAGCATTTGTGAGATCTCTGTTCACACTGCTGACAAAGACACACAGCTCACACCGACAGTGTACTCAGATCTGACCACAGCACAGTGACCACAACTTTTCCTGTGGTTTCAAAGAAACAACAAGTATTAGATTGGTATCAAGTACCACAAGTGGCCAAAAAAAGTTTTTTTAAGTGTGGAGGTTTTGGTTCCCAACAGGTAGAAATGTGCCTGTGATATCCCAGGGAAGGTGCCTGAACCACCACAGTGCTCCCATAGAGCCAAATGTGCAGATGGGGATGGCATCTGAAAATCTGTCACCTCATACAATCACCTTCTCTGAACTCTGAAAAAATCTCCCCATGTCAGAGCCAGCCGGGCTCACCAGGACCAAAGCCCACTGCTTCAGGAACCTGTGGGCACAGTGGACAATACAGACACCACACTGAGACAGACTCTCACTGCTTTTAGGCCACTCAGGGTCAGCTCTGGATGAAAATTGCCACTGAAACCACTTCTGGAACAGAGCAGCTGTTATTGCCTGGTGCAGAGTGAGCCTGTTCATGGTGCTCTACCACCCTCCCTCACCATTAACTATGTGCTTACATTGAGGCGGTCAAAGAGGTCATCTTCAGGCTGCTTGTTCTCCATGAACAGCTGAAGATTCTTAAACACCTGCAGGAAAAGAAAGTCGGTATCGTCAGGCACGGAGAGCAGACAGTGCTGGACAGCAGGGACACATAAGGAAGCAGCACTGCCAGGGAGCCACTTAATGTGTTTTCAGGCCACAGTGACAATGCTGGATGTCACCTCCCAGCAGGTAAAGACCCATCTCTCAATATAATGCTTGAGTTGAAGGTTCTTCCCCAGAAACAGGAGTCCTGAGCTTTCAACACCCTTTATTCTTATCCTTTAGATCAAGATTGTAGGAGACCCAATTCTGCTCTGGCTTAGCTGCCTAACAGAGAAAGAGACTGCAAAGCTACCACCTTTCCCTTATTCTCCATCATTACTCCAGCCAAACAGATCCCTGAGCCATTTCCCATGGAATGAGGCTACCAAAACCCCTTTTCATTGCCACATTAAATGTTTCATACAGTTCCATCCCAAACAAGTTTCACTGGGGAAGGGAGAATAATCAAAACATCTTTGGTTATACAGAGACCACAAATCCCAGCTTTGTGTGCTCCAAATCATCAGTTCCCAGCTTCTCAACAATATACATTCTTCTTCTACAGATACTCAATATACAAAGACTTCTAGTTCCACAATAATCAATTCCCCATTGTGAGCAAGAGGAGACACCAAGAGATACCAACACCAATAAATTTAAATAGGAAAAATGTTTTCTTCTTTAAACAAGGAAATAAGAATTCCAGCATGTGCTCATTTCTATAGCAGCCACAGTCTGGGTTTCTTCAGTTATTTTGCTCCCCATGAGACCAACATCTACTACTGACTGTCATTACAATTACCACAGTATTATAAATGCAGTATCTAACATACTGCGCTGACTGCAGAGCTGTGGGCCAGATGCAAAACTATTACACCCACAAAAACAAATGTCTTTCTGGCTAGTGGCCTCCAGGTTCACATTGCTGGGTAGGGATTTATTCTGGAATGAGGTCAAGATCACAGCAGATTTGAAATTGGTAGATGACAAAGAAATAAAGGAATTAATGTTGCCTAGGAAAGGAGTCTTGGTTGGTAGATACTTCTGGCCTATGAACCTGGGTATCAGTGCACCTACTCTGTTTCCTTGGGAGCACCCAAGATCAAGACCTACCTCAGTGTGGGTTCAGCTCCAACATGACAAAACCACTGTGACAAAGAAGCTGGTATCATGAAAGCCCAAGCTGAGCTGCTACTCTAACAGTGCTGTCCAGCACTGTCTTTCAGAACCTTTTAAGCTATTACTTGTCATACGGGCCAAGAACTCTACAATCTACACGTGACAAAACCAACTCTACTGACGAGTTACTCTACTCTAACACGAGACCCAAGAAACTCATCTAACATAGTTGTTAGTTGTGTTGTGTCAATTCTTGTCACTGAGACCATAG